GATTATTTCAACCATTTTCATTGATTTGAATTAAAACATGTTCCCAGTACATTTTTTCTCAGTGAATGATGAGCTCGTGAGTAACATTGGCCGTGGACTATGTGTTTTGATTGGTATTTCTCAGAATGACACAAAGGAAGACGCCAATTACATGGCCCGTAAACTGTTGAGTATTCGTTTATTCGACGACGATGCCGGCAAACGATGGCAGAAGAGTGTTAAGGACTTGCAGTATGAATTACTTTGTATTAGTCAATTCACTTTGTACAATCGGCTGAAAGGGAACAAGCCGGATTTCCATTTGGCCATGCAAGGTGCCGATGCATCGAATTTATACAACTTTGTTCTGCAGCAACTTGGCGACCAATATTCAGCGGACAAAATCAAAGACGGGAAATTTGGCGCTATGATGCAAGTTCATATACAAAACGACGGTCCAGTCACTATTGAAATTGAATCGCCGAAGAAAGAGAATGAAAATGCCAGTAAATAAATTCGAAAAATTGTTTGGAAATTCAATTGGAATGAAAATTTATGAAATAATTATTTTATATAAAAAAAAATGAAGAATTTCAGTAAAGAAACGATTCGTGAGACGTAAAAGAATGTATGTTTTTTTCTCGATTTATATTTTTGAAAAGGAAAGTATGTTTTCTGTTGATTCTATCTGCGTTAAAAGAAAGTATGTTGGCATCCCGTCTAGCCTCCGCGGTTTTTCACGGTTTCCGCGGAACTGATAAGAGATAACAACTTGGTCAGCAAAGTTGTAGTACTCGAGGTCTTCTATAACAATGCTGAAGACAAATATCTCTTATCTCTTATCATTTTTCGCGCTTTTCGCGGAACTGATAAGAGATAAGAGATAACTGACTTCAACAATGTTATAGAAGACCTCGGATACTACAACTTTGCCGAAGACACCAAGTTATTATCTTTTATCAGTTCCGCGAAAACCGTGCAAAACCACGACGACCCGCCAAAAACGAAAAAACATTCTTTTAACCATTATTAGTTGCAATGATACATACTTCTCTTTATTGCTACGAAGTTGGACAAACTTGCGTTCTTTTACATCTACTAATAGAATTGGTCTCTATTAGTTAATTACTCTTTTAGACATTTTTCACACTTATAAAGATTTTTTGACAGCTTTTCGTTATTATTTTCAATCGACTCTACACAGCAAAAAATAAAAGTCTAAACCTGAGCGTTTTTCCAGCTGAAGACGCATTCAGCCGATATTTCTGCTAGTAATTTGAGCTGCAGGCGAAATTCTGCTTATAATCTAATCGGTATTTCGTCTGAAACTCCGTTTTCTAGGCAAAATATAGGACTGGGCACCTCTACCAGTTGAAATTTCGCCTAAATGTGGACATTTATTTTTGACTATGTATTTTCTCTTTTGTTTTTTTTTTTCTTCGATTTTTCGTTTCAATCGATATGATATTTCGTTCAATTCCACATTTTATATTTATTTTATTTATTCAATGGTCAGTAGACTATGGCACATGCCAATTTTCTTGTTATACGAGCTTCGTCATAGTGATGGAAGCACCTTTCCTATCACTCCTTATGATTTAAGTCCTTATCTCCATTATGCTTCCGAAGTGAATGCAACTTCAATCCGCGTTCGGTATCGAGAGCAGCCGGACAAAGTGAACACTTGAACTTTTTTGACTCATTTGTGTGTCGTAGTTCATGTTTTTTACATTTTTGTTTCCGTGTGAATTTTTTACCACAAAATGTGCACACCGCTTGGACCTGTATCAAAGAAAAATGATAATGTAATGAATGGATTTGCTGTCGATGTTGTTGTTGTATAGAGCTGCCCATGATGAACAATGTTGTGCTGAATGGATTTAAGAAATTTTTCGATGAAGTGGAACATTTTTGGAGAAAAAAATAAATTTTTCAATCTGCAAAGCCATTCTCATTTGCCACTCCTAGTGGGCTACTGACAGAAACCACTGCCAAGATGCAACGAAAGAGAGTCGCAATTGTTTAAGCATTTCTGGTAGTAGAAATTCAGTATAGCAAACGAATAGCTTTGAATAGGCTATTTCCTTACATGAGTCTTCATATGCTCTTCCAAGGTAATTTTGTCCGGGAATGATTTTTTGCAATGCTCGCACTTTTCTGGTAGGTTTTCAATGTGTGACCGCAAATGTAACCGCAGTACCGAAGCGTACACGAATGATTTACCACACGTATCACAAGACAAGGTAGTGTTGTGCTGAAAAAAGGTAAATTTTCCATTATTTTTGATTGAAATACAAAAAATGATGAATAAAAAACAACGAATAGAAGAGAAAAAAAAGAAAAAAAATCAGAGGTAAGTTCAATTCACCTGGCTCCGGACATGATGTTTCAAGTCAAAATTCTCCGTTCCTCCTTCATTGCAAATGACACACTGTTTGGATGTGATTTTTGTATGCTTTCTCACATGATCCTTGAATTTATCCTTTTCCTTATCACTTACTTCATACAGGCAGACGTGACACGTAAACATTCCAGGGGATTTTGTGTGAATTTTTATATGGGACTGTCGATAGATATTGAATTTAAAAAAAATTAGAACTCATTGGAAAAATGTTGAAGAATTGAAGTCATTGAAAAAAAAAAATCCAATCATTCCTCGAAATAATTTTTTGAACAAAAATTAAAGAAATTGTTCCATTTTACCCTAATCGTTGTCTCGTGTTTCAATTTTTCGCCGCAAATTTCGCAAATTTTCGAATTCAAACAATTATTCGAAGCAGTTGTTGATACCGGTGCCTTTTTTGGTTGTTTCTTTTGCATTGAGCTGACTTTGGGAACGAATTCCTCATCTGAATCGACAGCATTATCATCATCATCGCTAAAATCGTCATCATCATCACAATCGTCGTCATCGTCATCTGGTATACTTTCACCAACAGTATCCGGATCAATTTTTATCTCTTCAATTGTCACAATATCATCAGGGCTATCATCTGCATTCATTGACTCGGTCTTAATATCATCATAATCTTCTTGATCGTAATCCACTTGTACCATTTCTGTTGGATTAACAAATTCGAATTCACTTTTGATCTGATTGCTCGTAAAACTTGTTTCACTCTTCAGAATCAATGTCCGTAATTCCTTTTCCTGCTCTTTCACCTTCAAACACATCCAATCGTACGTGTAAATTCGACGCAAACATTCTGAACAAATGCAGTTTGACTCGTCTCTTACATTACGCTGTGAAACATAGTCGTCCAGAAACTGAACAATGAACGTAACAATTGGTGTTTTAGTGTGCTTTGATTTAGTTTCAACCAGATTTCGATGCCAATCCCTCGTTTCCTCATTGCAAACATAACAAATCACATCCATTGCATCGAATTTTAGCCAATCAGAAGGTTGTACCTAGAGATTTATGAAGAAAAAAATGGATTAAGTTGCAAAAATATTAAGCTACTCTCAAAAATATCATGTTAGTTCTCATCGATTCTAGCTTACCTTTGGAGATTTACACACTTTGAAGAGATCAGAAGAGATTTTTCAAAATCTATCACTTATTTCCCAAACTTATTCAACAGAAAAGAATGTTTTGCTTTAGAACAAGGTTTTGTTAACTTTCTACTCGGCGATATTAATGAAGTGACAGTTGATTTGCCAAAACATTTGACATTTGATTTTTTCCGCTTTAGGCGCTCAATGTCAAATTGTCTGCTTTTTGCACTAAAATTAGTTCTCTTTGTTTTTATTTTCAATTTTCTGAGTTGGATCTGAAAAATGATGATAATGAGCTTTAAAATAATTTTAGAAATTCATAAAATGAACGAAATTAAAAAAAAAATTAAATATATTTCGGCAGCTCAACCAGTTTACAAAATACACTTCGGTTTTGAGTTGTCATTTGTTGAAATTTATTGATATTTGGAACCATCAATTATAATCCTAGTACAGAGTATTTATATGGGAATGACAAATTCAATTCAAATTGATAAATTCACAGGAACAAAAAAAAAATTTAAATCAGTAAATTCTAAAGAGTAAGAGCTTTTTCTTGAAATTTTCATTCAACTTTTCGAATCCATCCAAATGAATTAATGTCTAATCCATAATTTATTTGAGCTGCCCTCAATCAATCTAATGTATTTTCTATATAACACATTTTTGTTCATCTACTTCTGATGGGCAATAATGCAAATTGTCAAAATATTCAATTAAATAATACGAACAATGTCTTTTTGTGTTCAAAGTAATTTTAAGTACTTATTTTACAATTACTTGTGTTGATTAGCTATCGCTTTGTCACTGGCTTATGCCTAAAACCATCAGTCAATGTTTGAATTTATCGCCGATTTCTATCGTGTGGTTTTTCAGCATCGTGTTTCCGTTGCAAGTGTAGATTCAAATCGTGTCTGGATTCGAAAGCCGCAGGACAAATGCTACATTTAAATTTCTTCGTGTCTTCTCTGTGTCGTCGTTCGTTCAAGATCTTTTTGATAGCTGGGTATCAATGGGTTTTTTGATTTTGGATTTGGCTGACAACGTCGTTCAAGTACAGTATATTTGTACTCGACTGGAGTTTTGCTCTCATTTGAGTTCGGTTCAATACTTTGCTTCTTTGACGGTGGCTCACTGATTTCATTTTCTCTTGACGGAGACTGTCTCGGTTGCATTTGCACTACTGCAATGATTGTCCATAGTTCATTTGGTTCGTTTTCTTTAACCTCACAATCCTGTTCAATTTTAATTTCTTTTGGCAGTACATCTGGATTTAATGCATATTCCGGTTCTGGAAGCAATACAGTTGCTTGATAAATGTGCGATTTTTCTGTGGCCCAAAGAAGCTCCTTCAACTATTTTTCCCTCTCCGAGCACGTGACATACATCCAATCGTAGTCATCGATGCGATTCAAACACTTTGCACAAATGCAATTCGATTCGCTTTCAATGTTTCGCTGTGATTCAAAGTCGTCGAGAAATCGCTTGAGTAAATCAACGATCGGCGTATTCGAATGTTGTGACTTGAGTTTGGTAAAATTTCGACGCCATTCGTCGGTCTGCTCATTGCAGACGTAACAAATCACTTCCATTGTTATTTTCCTTATTTTCCTAATGAATTTATAACGTTAAACTAAAATTTTAGGCCAAAGTAAATGAAATTGCATGAATTTCTATTGTTTGTTGAAATGTCACTCGATTTGACACTATACGTTAGAATGTTCAATTGTCAAAATAACCACAACACAGAACCCCTCTCGGATAGATTTTCAGTTAAATTCATTTATTTTTTTCTACAACAGAGCGATTCCAATACTATATTGATATTTAGAGCAAGTTCATTACTACCAAACCACACGTTGTGTGTCGTCATTTTTAGTCACAGTGAAACTGATCAAACTAAAAAAATATTTGTTCAAAATCTCGTTTGTTTGGAAAAGATGACCAACGATATTTTTAGCATATAGAGAAATCTTGGGTTGCTTTATACATTCAAGCTAATAAAATGATGAGCAAGTGCGCTGAATAATAGAATCAAAATTACAATATTATCCATATACGACTGGAACAGTTAGAACAATAGCTTTGTATTTCATATGTAGTACCAAAACCTACATATAAGTTTTGTTTTGACGATTTTTGATAGTAATTCACTATAGTAGTTCACGTTTAGGATTAGAGTATCTTCATGGACTATATTTAATGAATATTTCAATACATATTTCGTCATGTTCTAGTTTTAGAAAAAAATATGTTTTCTCAGTTGTTCCTTGTGGTTATTCAGATCTGTGTCTCCTTTCCATGTGTTGCTTCAGGTGGAATTTGTGTTCAAAAGCCGCCGAACAAAGTGTGCATTTTACCGTTTTTGTATTTTCGATGTGCCGTCTTTCATGAGCCCTTTAAGAAAAAATACATCAATAATTAAAATTTGAAAGATATAATGTAGGATTCAAAATCGATTTACCTCCAGTGGTCCTTGAGCTTAAAACTCATGTCGCAAAATGAGCAGTTGAATGGTCGTTCTGTGGAGGTCTGTGAATAGCGGAAAAAATCGTAATTTTAATTTGGTTTTTTGAACCACAATGGTCGATAAATTGTAGAACTTTGATGAAAAGTAGCTTTGCTGACTTTCAATTGATTGCTTTGACAACACTGTGCAACAAAGTTTAATTTAAAATTCAACTTCAATCTAATTCACATCAATTATAACAGCCATCACAGCAACGATTCAATAGTAATAATTTTAAATTAATTATTGATTTAGAAGAAAAAAAAACCTCCGATTGAAAAAATAAAATGCTTACATGAATTCGCAAATGAGTACGTAAATACTGCATGGTTTTGAAGGCTTTCGAACAGAATGTGCATTCGAATTGTTTTTCATCAATGTGAAGTCTTCGATGTACCTTCAGTGTGTCTTTGCCGTAAAATACTTTCCCACAAAGATCGCACAGAACTTCTGGTTCACCCTGTTCAACGATCATAAAAGACACAACCATTTCAATTAGTTGTAATATTTATATCAATCAATGCCAATTAACTTACATGGTTTTTCACATGAGTTCTCATAATCGCCTTCGTAGCGTAACCCTTATCACAAATAACACAATGACGATCCGATTTTCCTTCGTGTAAATCTAAATGTTTTCGATGTTCGTCTTCATTAGGCAATTTAAATTGACAGATTCGACACATTAGACCTTCCGGCGTTTTATGCCATACCATGTGAACCTTTTGAAAGAGGAAAAATCATGAGAAAATCGGTAAAATCAAAAATATTGAAGAATAAAGCGATTTGGCTGTTTTAAGCAAAATCCACTGAAAATATCTTCTCTCCAAGCTCCGTTCAACACTTACCGCATGTTCATCGGCCGCTTTGAAAGTTATGTCACACAGCTCACATGTTCGTTGGTGCTTCGCCATATGATTCTGGTAAAAGTACAAAAAAGTAAATAAAGTGGAAGCCACGCAAAAATGTTCTCATACAATAGCAACAAAATGGCAACGAAAAATCACCTCGTAATATTTTGTTTTCTTACAAAATAGTTTGCACGATGTGCAATATCGTTTCAATTGATTGCTTGATAAAATGCTCGGATTAGTGACTATTTCCCAACTATCAAAGTATCTCTTGCCTTTGGTATTTTTGGATGATTTGAAGCTAGGCAAACATCGAAAACATCTTGACTGACTATCAACATTTTCGGCATTTTTGGCATTTTCAACAGTTTCTAGGCATTGATCTCGAACAGCGTCTTGAGACATATCCTCAACAAATGATCTTTGAGACACATCCTCGTCTGAAACTTGTATTATGTTTGTTTCTGGCTCAATGATTCGTTTCTTCAACGGCGGCTCACTCAGACTGGCTGGTATTGGAGCTGTTGGTTCTATTGGTGCTGGAGCTTTTGATGTTATTGATGCTAGAGCTACTGGTTTCGATTTGAGAAATGGAACTCGTTTTACAACTCGTACAACGATTGGTTTGCTCCTCTTTACATTGTCCCCGGGAGTGTCGGTTTGCCGTGCTTCGGTGCCTGATACAGGCTTAACTTCTTTGCTACTCTCATCTTTGAATTTACGTCCATTCGCAATCTTTGCTTTCGATTCAACTAAATCCTCTGTTTTGATCCGACTGCTGATAAAATTCTTTTCCGTCGACATAAGTAACATATGGAATTCCCTTTCCTGCTCTTTCACCTTCAAAATCATCCAATCGTACGAGTAAATGCGACTCAAACAATCCGAACAAATGCAATTGGTCACATCATTTATATCTCGCAGAGAGATATAATCCTTGAGGAATCCAGTGATGAACACAGTGATCGGCGTGCCAGAGTGCTTGGACTTTGTTTCAGCAAGATTTTGCGTCCATTCTTTTGTTCGATTATTACAAACATAGCAAGTGATTTCCATCACTATTTTTCTTATTTTTCCAACAAATTTAGAACGTAAAACTAATTTTAAGCTGAGGTAAACATTGCGATGCGTGCATTTGTGTTTATTTTTATGTTTGCAGAAACGTCAGTGTCAGTCGATTTGACACTTTATTTCGAAGTGCTCAACTGTCAAAGCAACCATAACACAGAACCTCTTTTCTGTAGCAACAAAACCAACACGTTGGAATTGTTTTTCTTACTTTTAATTTATTTCTTTAAGCAATATTTAGGAAGATAAAAACAATTCAAAATGAAAGCACTGATTCAACGTGTTACGACTGCCAAAGTCACCGGTAAATACATACAGAATTCGATTATTTCAACCATTTTCATTGATTTGAATTAAAACATGTT